CCCCAAAACCCCAAAACCCCAAAACCCCAAAACCCCAAAACCCCAAAACCCCAGATGACCTATAAGAGCTTGAAACCTTAAAATAATAATTATTAAGAATCATAGTAGTAAAAATGGGTTCATGTAAAAGTGTGAGCGCGAATGAATATAAGGGAGACTATCCCAACTTTGCCCTCAACGTGGTCTCAAAAATCTCTGGAGATCCTGACAAATGTCTATTTGATTACCAGTACAACAATAGCCATGAGCATCAAGACAAAATTAGTGCCTGTTCGGCTCAAGTAAAAACAAATTGATTCCTGCATGCAATGCAAAGTGAATCAGGAGATGATGATGATGACAGTAAGGTCACTGCTGCTGTTCATGACAGAATGCTTGCTTTCACCTTCACACAAGGAAAATTCTGGGTTTTCAATGGGAAAGAGACTGAAGAAGACCTCTCTTGGGAAACTCTAAAGGATCGGGCTTGGGTAGTCATGAATAAGATTTACAAAAATAAGCAAAACTGTATAGTGAAAAATAACAAGTACAAAATTCATGATGGGGATGTGCTCAGATTTGGCAAGATCCTCTTCAAGGTTACCCTCATTGCTCCTCCAAAGAAGGGCAAGAAAAAGAAGCTTGCATGCGAGAATAAATATGAATTAATTGAAAAACATTCTCGTCCAATAAGGAAGTTAGAGGATTTTGCTAGTACTAAAACAGTTTTTGATCATGGAACTGACACCCTGAAGAATAAATTAGTTACTAGGATCGGGGACAAAGGAATTTCTTCAAAGAAATTGATTGAAGGTACAAAAGAAGCTACTCCACCCAAGAAGCCTGAAATATTCGAAGAGACTGCATGTAGAATCTGTTATTGAAACGAGGACGATCCTGCTGAAAATCCTCTAATAGCTCCATGTGACTGCTCTGGATCGGTCAAATTCATCCATTTGGCCTGAGCCAAAGCTTGGATCAATGAACAACTTACACAGGATGTTTCTCCAGGTGTGAAGTCTTACTGCTGGGAAAGGATCAGTTGAGAGCTCTGTCATTCCAACTTCAAAGAAATAGTCTACCATAATGACAAAGAAGTCAAATTATTTGAAAAGGAGAAAATAGATCCAGACACTAAAATGGTGTTGGATTCAATCTATCCTGATGATATTAAGCTTAATTTCAGCCTTATAGTCAAAAAGCACGAAGAATGGAAGGTTTTCCAACTAGGGCGTTCCAGAAATTGAAATATCAAGCTTAATCTCGATTCTATCTCAAGAAATCATTCGGAAATTAAGTATGATAATGGAGATTTCTTCCTTAAAGACTGAATGTCTACCTTTGGTACAATGGTACTGTTGCGTCAACCTCTTATGTTTACTAATAAAGCTAAGGAGGAAGCTGCAATTCAGTCTGGACCAACCTTAATTGAAATCAAAAATGGAGGTCCCAGAAAAATAGAATACACCTATATTTCCAAAGAAGGAGGTGAGAAAAAGTGAGCTGTGTATAATGATTTTAAACACAAGATCCCATCAGAGATGCGTAATTTCATTGATAGAAATTCTGAGCAGCTTGAAGTTATAAGAGTTGAGGATGTTCACATCAATAAGAGAGCAATATCAGCCAATAACTTACCCCTCATGAATGAAATCTCAGATGTAAAACCTGTTTTATCAAAAGCTTCAACTTCTCTTGCAAAGTTTGAGAATTTATCTGCCCTCCCAGAAAACAGGAATGATGATTCCATTATGAGAAGGGGACACAACCAAATCGATGTGGGGCCTGAACCTTCAGTTAGTCCAGATATTAGTAGAGTAAGAGAGAGTCACGGGAGCAATCTATCAAATAACCATCAAAGTGTAATAACTCCACAAAGAGTTTCCCAAAGCCGAGAAGAAATAAAAGAAGATGAGCAAGACTATGAATCAATTGAAAGTGAAGAGGAAGAAGAATTAGTAGCGTCTAGAGGCCTAGAAGCAGAATGGAGGATAGTATCTTCTCCTAGAGAGAAGCATTCTCAACCTCCTGAGGTCGCTTCATAATAAACCTATGAAACCCTATAAACCAAATGGTATATAGGAATAATTTAATATCTTCTTTACTTTAATATAACCTTCATATATTTTCTATCCCTTACTCCACTCATAAATCGACTGGCAGGGTCATTACCTGCACCAAATTACCAAAATCCAAGAATAAAAACGATATAAATAATACACCTTAAAAAGTAACTTTTATTACCCTCTGTTTTTCAGCAACTTCCAAACCTGACCATCTCACTGCTTGAAATGACAGGATGTGCATAAAATCTACAGCTGCTATGACAAAATTTGTTTCTGAGATTGGTCACCAAAGAAAATAATTTATAATAAATTCTAAAGAAGCTATACTAAAATATGAACATGTTCTCCAGAACCAGAGCCCAATGGGCTCTGGTTCTGGAGAAAGCTCATTTGAATTAGTGCAATGTTTTTAGAAGGATATGATTTATATTTCTTCCTACCCAGAATTTCAGCAGCTTCATAGTGGTCGGGTGCATAGTAGCTCTTATTGCTATTAAATTTCTTGCATAAAATGATGTTTAAAATGGAGGTTTTTACGATGAAGGATAATTCTGGCTATTGGAGAATGTATAGCTGGAAATTTAGGTAAAACCAAGCTTGCTTTGGAGGTAGTAGTAAATTTTCATGATAAGTTATAAAATAAGTTATTGGGGTTTTGGGGTTTTGGGGTTTTGGGGGTTTTGGGGTTTTGGGG